ATATATATAAGTATTTATATATAAATACTTTTATCAATGAAAAAACTATTGCAAATTTATTATAAAATTTGTAAAATTAAAATTGTTACAGAACACTATTAATACTGATTCGATCATTTTAGTTTTTTTGTCATCAATTTCTATTTTTTTAACACATTTAACCCATAAAATTAGATATATTTATTTTTTATCACAGTTGCACAACATTAGGACACTAATTTTCACGATAAATGATTATTGGCTTCGGCATCCTTTCCGGAGATCAGCAACCGCGGTACTTAACCGTCCTTGCCTTCGAAAATCTGCCTGAGGTTCAAATCCACGTGGACTACAGTGCGAAACTACTTCCATCTTTCACTTTCACTCTTCGTAATCACATACGTAATCGAGATCGGTTCCGTTATACGTGCCATACTTTTTTTTGTAATAGTGAGTTTAGCTATGATTAAAAATCATAGCAATGCATCATTATCATAACGTTTTTTTTACGATTTCTTCTATTAGTATTAATTAAAAATTATTGAATAATTTAGGTTTTAACATTTAATGTCAAATATCTTGAGATATAAAAAAATGTATTTATTAAATTAATTAAGTCATTAAAAAAAAATTATTAAGCTCTTTTAGTAAAATGCGCAAATAAAATACACACATAAATAGCACACGCCTTACAATCACAGCAATTTTATATTTAATCCGGTTTCGTTGGAATGTCAAATTTTCGTAACACGCTCTGATTAAGGTCACTTACCGTTAATTACGTTGTTGTGAAAGGTATACGTAAAACAAAAAACAAATTTGTTTGCATTGAAAAGTAATTGAAAAGTTAGTTTTTATTTAAATTAAGCTATTTAAATTATTATATAAAAATTTAATGATGTTAATGAATTCTTGTACAAAATTTTCTTTTGCTTAGCATAGAGGAAAAATATTGTAAGAGTCGCGAAAACTTACTTACATTTAACAATCAATAAAATATACCGTTCAATGCAATAAGAAAATAATAGTATTTATGTATCAATTCTTATGTATAGCTCTTAGCGTCATCTTATCATTGCGAATTTGTTCAGTGTGACACAAAATTCAATTTGAAAACATATAGACATAAAGTTTGACGTGATTCATATATGTACATAAAATACACTTTTTTATTCGCTTGTCTTATATAAGATGTATCTACTTACCTAGTGTCTATGTATGTCAATACTTATATTGCTTTACATGTTTATGCACGTTTCTATTAGGTGTACAACTTTGCTTCCGCCGTTTTCCTATAGATAGCTTTAGCGGTAAGTGGTGGTCGAAATAAATAGATCATAGACGTCATACAATAAACTTGGGCATCTGTCAACATAACCCCATAGAAACATTAGTCGATTTGTGTCTGCATCATAAAGTTATTCTCGATCGAAAATATCAGTTTACGAGCCAAATTCTCGTCATTTGCGGGAGGTTTTAATTTTTTGCTTCAATATGAAGAAATCTGCGACTGAGGCTCATCGAATGCTCTCAAATACTTATGGTGAGCCCGCTATTAGTGAAGAAAGAACGTGTCGTGAGTGGTTTCAACGCTTCAAGAACGGTGATTTTGACGTCCAAGTTCATGCTCTGTATTTGATCGGACCAGCTCGGCGTAGTGTATTATGAACTGTTAAAACCAACTGAAACAATCACAGGTGATCGGTATCGAACGCAATTGATGCGTTTGAGCCGAGCAATTGAAAGACAAACGGCCGTAATACAACGAGAGACACGATAAAGTGATTTTGCAGCATGACAATGCTCGATCCCATGTTGCGAAAGTGGTCAAGACATACTTGGAAACATTGAAATGGGATCCTACCCCACCCACCGTATTCTTCAGACGTTGCTCCCTCTGACTATCACTTGTTTCGATCAATGGCACACGGCCTGGCTGACTAGCACTTCCGGTCTTATGAAGAAATAAAAAATTGGATCGATTCGTGGATAGCCTCAAAAGATGATCAGTTTTTTCGACGCGGGATTCGTACGCTACCCGAAAGATGGGAGAAAGTAGTGGCCAGCGATGGACAATACTTTGAATCATAAATGTATAACCAGTTTTTTACAAAAGCCTCGAATTTTGGAAAAAAAACGGCGGAAGCAAAGTTGTACACCTAATACTTACTGTCTACATTTGTAGAGCAATTTTCTCTAACGTAAAATAAGATAAAGCGAACATTGGAACAAAGCAATTATTCGCTGTTGAATTATTTCTATTTTCTTGTTATATACTTAATTAAATAATTATTTATAATATAAAGAATACTTTCCTTACTGTGTATTGAGTGTTGTTTAGAATCACAACACAAAATTATAAATTTAAAATTAGATAGGTAAAGAGTAGCGAGCCACTGACCGTAGAAAATAACCTCGGAAGATAAATATCGCAGCTATAATTGTAACTACTGATTATGCGCACGCGAGATGCGTGAAGGTGCCGTTATATATCTTGATGAATTACTACATTGTAAATCACAATTGCATATAAGCTGCGCCTACGTGGTAGAGACAAAGACAAGACTTTGACCGAACATTCATTATAACTTGGCTTACAATTGTATTGTATTAAAGATTGTAATTATAATAGATAATAGGATTTTAAAAAATGTTTTACATAATACAAGATATAAATGTAATTACATTTAAAAAAGGATTTTAATTAAAATTTGAAATTGGAACAATTGTATCCTAAAAAATATTTAGTCTTTTATAATGATTACAAGTAATCTTATCAATTTTAGAATTAACTTTAACTCAATTTTAAATGATTTTATTTATGAATTAAAGAAAATTCGTTCATTTTTTATTTGTAAATTTTTCACTCTGAATCTTTACTTTATATTTATCTTGACAAAATTTTCATCGTTGATTAAGTTTATAAAAATTTACATAAGATGTTCTGCAAAATTATTATTACGTTGCATTATTACAATGATTTTCTTCTACATATGACGGCTTAGTCGTTGCATATAATGCTATTTGAATAAATTATTTGATGATATCACTACTTGATCGAATGTTATCACTTATAAAATTTTTGTTTAAAAAAATTTTAATTTTAGATCTTTTTTAAGTAAACTTGTGTTTTTGTTTCTCAAGAGCCTCAGAGATGCAAACTTCACGAAGTTAATTTTTAATTGATTGCTGATGCTTCCTATCTATGTCATGTAGAAAAACATACAAAAAGCATAACGTGCAATTTTTGTAATTTGTTTCACATGCAAGCATGATACTTCTATATTGCGTGATAAGTATATTAGACAATTTGTTTTATTGATTTTATTTGCTTTATTTAAACGTCATTATTTTACGAATATGAATCGTATCCGATATATCTGTTTAAAGGTAAGCGTAAAAAGAAACACAACAAGATTTTAATTCTAATGACTTTTAAGTTAGAATTCAAGATATACATTTTTTTATAGTACATATATATTACTGTTTCCTAAAAAATTTTCCGAGGTTTGCAAAGTTTCTATCAAAAATTGTGTAACTGGAATTGGTATACGCTTTATAATTCTAATGAATACGGTTTATAATTCTAATGAATTATAAATCATATACCAATTCCAGTTAC